AAAAAAAAAAAAAAAGATTGGGGCTCAGCTCCCCACTGCCTGGTCCAAGTCCCTGGACAGATCATGTCTCTCTGTATTGTATCACTCACGTAGTCTCTGGCTCATGAAGTCAAGACCAGAGACTGCATGAGCCTTTCTGTCCAGCCCCATCTGCCTTATGTTGAGTAGCAATTCATTAAGCTCTGATGGGAGGTTATTTTTCAGATGCACTTTTCAATATTATTGAGTATGTCAATATTTTTCTCTGTACTTAGTAAGAAGGTGGGACCAAGTATATTAAAGATTGCTAGCCAGCTGTCGTATTACATTGAAGCCTTTCTAATTTTTGCATGTAGAGCCCTTTGGTTACTTGTGTTTTTATACTATTACCATCTGTTATTCATCATGGCCGTTCTTTATTTTGACCTGAATCAGAGCTGCACTGTCTCACATATTTAAAGTGTGTCCAGTCTCCCAGCCCAGAGTCCAGCCCTTCTGTGCCTACCCCTTTTCCCTCCGTGCCTCGCTCCACCCCTCCATCTACACCTCTTCAAACCCCAAATCCAAAATCTCGCACTCATGCGATAGTGCCTATTAGGACCGTTTTCCATTCATACGCTTCCTAAAAATGCATAATTTTGAGCCCATTGTTGCCTGAATCCACAGTCCAGAATGGTGACTTCAGTTAACAAGTGTCTTGTATGTTTGAAAGTTGCTAAGAGAGTAGATCATAAAAATTCTCATTGCAAGAAAAAAGATGTAATTATATGTGGTAATGGATGTTCACTAGATTGTGATGATCATCTCACAATAAATATGTATATCAAATTATCACATTGGACACCTAGAATTAATACAATGTTCTATGTCAATTATATCTTCATAAAAATTTAAAAATATCTCCCTAGGTTTAATAAAACTCAGTGTGAAAAGTTGAAGGACAGGACTCCTGCATAACTATTATGTCCACAGTGTTCTATCACTGGGGACTTGCATGTGTATTTTTTAAGCAGCTCTGTTCTTGCTGACTGGATCTGTCATTAAAACACTATCTCTGACAGGCTGGGCAATAGGTGCCCCAGGCACCTATATTTTAAAAAGGAAGTAGGAGTTTTCTCATTTTTAAAAAGGCAGCCTTGGCTCTTAAAATATGAGGCCAAGAAGAGCTGTAGATGATGTTCAAAGATGTGTATGGGCACAAAGGAGTTTAAGAGATAGCTGGCTTGGGTGGGATGGCTCGGTCAGTTAAGCGTCTGCCTTCCGCTCAGGTCGCGATCCCAGGGTCCTTAGATCAAGCCCCACATCAGGCTCCCTGCTCAGCGGGGAGTCTGCTTCTCCCTCTGCCTCTGCCCTTCCCCCTGCTCATGCTCACTCTCTCTCTCACATAAATAAAATCTTTAAAAAGAGAGAGAGATAGCTGGCTGTTAGTCTGGGAAGCCTTTGTCTCCTGGCTGTTAAAAAGTCTGAGTACTTAGATCTAAATTGAGAATGATAGATACGTGCATATCCTAGGGAGGGGAAGCAGGTGCCCTGTGTGTTTCTACATTTGCCAGTCATCCTGTTAATCTCTGTCGAATTATCTCCTAAACTCCTCCGAGCTTTTTATGTCATCTTTTGAAACAGTAAATCACTTTATTAGGTTTTTAAAAGAACATTCATAATGTCTTTTCCATAAGCCATTTTGTAAATTAATGCCATTTCCTTTCCGGTTAACCTGTTTGCAAGAAGCTATTTTACATGTCTGCAGCAGTTCGGAAGAGCGAAGTGAATTCATAATTTAATTTGCAATCTGATATGTATGCTTTGGAGTCGATTTAAATTATTATAGATAATAAGGCAGCATTTCTTACGGAGATTCATGTGTTGTGCTTTTGTTATGCAGCACTGGGATCCCGACACAGGCCAGACCTGGTGCCTAGCACCCCGTCACTGTTTGAAGCTGCTTCCTTGGCAACCACTATTTCATCGTCTTCCTTATATGTCGATGAACATTGTCCACACGACAGGACTGCGCTGTATTCAAACAGGTGAGACTTAGCGCGATCATATTACCAATCCGGCTATTACCACATCTGCATCACAGGTGGACAGGTATCTCTGAATTGAGAACATGCTGTCCCTGGCACCCAGGATGTGACTGTCACCTGCCCTGTAAGTAAGAGAAAGAGAGAACTTGCTTGATTTTTTACTAGGGCAAGAAGCACATCTGGGGGAAAACCTTCCTTATTTTTCTCCACGGTTAATCATTATGTCCTATTGAAATTATGTACTTGGTCCTAGGGAAGAAGACCAATCTTTCATCATTTTTCTTTTAATAATTTCTTATGAATGGCTTTTTAAAGCAGGTACTCCTGGTTAATATTGCCAGTAGCCGCAAAGATATTTGCATATTCTCTTTTTGTTTGAGTGACCTGAGGGACTATGATAGGCAGAATGATGGCCCCCCCAAAGTTGTCCCTGTCCTAAACCCTAGAACCTATAAATGTGTCACCTTATATAGCAAAAGGGACTTCGCGAACATGATTAAAGATTCTGAGATGGAAAGAGTGTCTTGAATTATTCAGGTTGTCCCAATATATAAAATACATATATATATATATATATATATATATATATTGTTTCATTAACACTCCAGTGGTAGACAACTGCGTGCTTATGTTTCTTCGTAGATCACTGGGTCGCACAAAATTCAAAACCCATGAGGAAGCTAAGAGTGTTTACATTAAATGTTTCCTTCCTAAAAATCCTTAACTGTATGCCAGTCTGTCCTCAAGCAGTGAAGTCTGATTATGCACAGGGTCTTTGTCAGAGGAAGACAGGAAGATTAGAGTCAGAGAAAGAGACATGATTCCAGAAGTGGAGGGCAGAGAGAGACATTGGAAGGTGCCACATGGCTGGCTTTGAAGGTGGAGGACGGGGCCTTGAGCCTGGAAATGCAGGCAGCCTCTAGAAGCCCGAAAAGGCAAGAAAACAGATGCTCCCTTGGAGCCTTCACAGAGGAAGACAGCTCTTCCACACCTTGAATTTCAGGACTTCTGACCACCAGAGCGGCAAGATAATAAGTTGTGTCATTTTCAGCCACGAAGTTTATGATAATTTCTTACAGCAGAGATGGGGAACTCAAACATGTAATGATTGAACGTTTGAGTGTTGGGCGGGCTACTGTAATTTCTTAAATAGAGAGGGGATTAGTTATTAGATACGTTTGCTTTTTGAACAAAACATTGTCAGACATTGATTCTAATAATAGAAGATGATATATTTGCAAAGAGATCACAGTGTTGTCTGTGGGCTTAGCTGTTTGATTTTCTCTCTTTTCATATATGCAATTTTGTAACTAGCTCCAATCACTGGGCAGGGACTATTATGTATGTTCTTAATAATTATCTGTTAAATGGAAACTAGCTCTTGTTAAAAATCTAGTTCTTGAGAATCAAGGTCATATTTGTGCAGGTAAACTGCTTCTTACACTGTACATCGTTTTCCACACCCAGGGATGCAGCGTGGCTCACTTCCAGAAGGAGGACTCAGTATGGTAGACTCATTTGTAACATACGCATGCTTGTAGATTCTAGCTTGGTCTTTGGGCGAGTTAAGGTTTGGTCACTGGAGCTTCTGTAGAAATTGTTTTCTGTTGCCATTCTCTTCCCTCTCCGCTACATACAGCTTGGGGGGTGGGTAAGCAGGTGAGGCAGCCAGCCTTGGTGTGGAGAAGTGAAACAGATAACAAGGTGAGCCATCAATCTTAGTGTGGCTTCCGTTTAGATAGCTCTGCTGGAAGGGCTAACAAATAAGGCTCCTTTATAAATTATTCAACTCATCGGAACTATAAAAGAAATTTGGCTAGCTTCCTTGGGTTAGAAGACTTGAAAGTGACCTATACCTTACGCTAATGTGTACCTTGAATGTTCAAATTTATTACATAAATTAGTCTAGCAACAGCTTTCCTATTTCTGGGGTAGAGCTAAACACCATTGTTTTGCTCTCAAATATAAATAGCAGCTCAAAAAAATGGCTGGAAAGTCATAGGAAGCTCCTTGCAAGGTCAAAAACAATTCTATGTGAGGCCAGGGTGATTTCTTACTATTTGCTACTGTTCTCATTATCAGGGGCATGTAATTGGATATGCTTGCTACTAAATTATTTACTAGAATTTTCAACACAAGAATAAAAGGGTTTTTGGCTTGGTTTGGTTTTTTTAATGGCAGCGGTTGTGGGTCAATATCTAGACTCTTGGCCAGAAGTATTCAATTCTTGGGTATTCATAAGGTTCCCCCACCATCCAGAACTGCCTCCTTCCTGGCCATTGTGGAAGCTACCTCTGCACGCTCCCAGGCTGTGGTATAATTCTTGTTACTTTGATTTATGATGATATGGTTCCGTATACATTTGGATGGAAAAAATATTATTAGTGTTATCAGTTGTATTTTTTTCTTTTCTTTTTTTGAAGTGACTTCTTTGAGATAAATTTTTGGCATTGTATCTCCAAGTTGTAATTTGAAGATTTTACTTATTTATTTTTGCGCGCATGCACGCAAGTGCAAGAGAGGAAGAGAGAGTGCGTGCGCACGAGTGGGGGAGAGGGGCAGAGGGAGAAGGAGACTCCTCGCTGAGCAGGGAGCCCAATGCAGGACTCGATCCCAGGACCCTGGGATCATGACCTGAGCTGAAGGCAGATGCTTAACCATCTGAGCCACCCAGGCGCCCTAGTTATTGGTTTGCATACCTAAATGCACAACAAATTCTAATGGGATATATAAAAATGTGATACATCACATTAACAAGTAAAAGGATAAAAACCATATGATCAAAGTACAACATTCATTCATGATAAAAAAAAAAAACTTTCCACAAAGCAGGTTTAGAGGGAACATACCTCAACACAGTAAAGTCCATACATGAAAAACCCACAGCTAACATCATACCCAGTGGTGAAAGATTGAGGGCTTTTCCTCTAAGATCAGGAACAAGACAAGGATGTCCACTCTCAATGTAGTACTGGAAGTTGTGGTCACAACAATCAGACAGGAAAAAGAAATAAAAAGCATCCAAATTGGCAAAGAAGAAGTCAAATTTTCACTATTTGTAGATGACATTACACTATATATGTAGAAAACCCCAAAGATGCCACCAAAAAACTATAGAACTGATGGATGAATTCATTAATGTCACAGGATACAAAATTAATATACAGAAATCCATTGCATCTCAATACAATAATAATGAAGTAGCAGAAAGAGATACTAAGAAAACCATCCCATTTACACCTATACCAAATAAAATAAAATACCTAGGCATAAACTTAACCAAGGAGGTGAAAGGCCTATACTCTGAAAACTATAAAACATTGATGAAAGAAATTGAAGATGACACAATTAAATAGTAAGGTATTCCATGCGCATGGATTAGAAGAACCAATGTTGTTAAAATGTTCATACTACCCAAAACAGTCTACAGATTTAATGCCATCCTTTTCAAGATACCAAAACATTTTTTACAGAGCTAGAACAGATAATCCCAAAACTTGTATGGAACCACAAAGACCCCTGAATAGCCAAAGCAGTCCTGAAAAAGAAGAACAAAGCTGGAAGGTATCACAATCTAAGATTTCAAGATATACTTCAAAGCTGTAGTAATCAAAACAGGACAGAAATAAACACATAGATCAATAGTATAGGATTAAGACCACAAGTAAACCCAAACCCACATGGTCAGTTAATCTACAACAAAGAGGACAAGAATATACAGGGAGGGAAAGACAGTCTTCAATGAATGGTGTTGGGAGACTGGATAGCAACACACAAAAGAATGAAACTGGATCACTTTCTTATACTATACACAAAAATAAACTCAAGATGGATTAAAAACTTAAATGTGAGACCTGACCTGAAATCATAAAACTCCTAGAAGAAAACATAGGCAGTAATCTCTTGGATATCACCCTATGCAAAATGTTTTTGGATGTTTCTCTGCAGGCAAGAGAAACAAAAGCAAAAATAAATTCGTGGGACTACACCAAAATAAAAAGCTTTTGCACAGCAAAAGAAACCTACTAAATGGAAGGAGATACTTGGCAAATGATATATCCGATAAGGGGTTAATATCTAAAATATATGAAGAACTAATACAACTCAACACACACACACACACAAATCTGATTTAAAAATGGGCAGAGGACCTGAATAGACAATTTTTTCCCAAAGAAGGCATACAGATGGCCAGCAGACACATGAAAAGATGATCAGTATCACCAATCATCAGGGAAATGGAAATCAAACCACAATGAGATATCCCCTCATACCAGTCAGAATGGCTAAAATTAGAAACACAAGAAACAAGTGTTGGCAAGGATGTGGAGAAAAAGGAACCCTCGTGCACTGTTGATGGGAATGCAAAATGGTGCAGCCACTGTGGAAAACAGGTGCTTAAAAAACTGAAAATAGAAATACTGTATGATCCAGTAATTCCACTACTGGGTATTTCCCCAAAGAAAGTGAAAACACTAATTCAGAAAGGTACATGTACCTCTGTGTTTACTGCAGCATGATTCACAACAGCCAAGACATAGAAGCAGCCAAGTGTCCATCCATAGATGAACGGATAAAAAAGATGCAGTGTATATATACGGTGGAATATTATTCGGCCATAAAAACATGGCATCTTGCCATCTGCAAAAACATGAACAGACCTGGAGGGCATTATGCCAAGTGAAATAAGACAAAGACAAACACCATATAATTTCACTTATATGTGGAATCTAAAAAAACAAATGAACAAACCGACTCTTAAGTACAGAGAACAAACTGCCACTTGTCAGAGAGGATGTAGGTGGGGAAATGGATGAGATCAATAATGGGGATTAAGAGGTACAAACTTTGATATATAAAATAAGTCATGGAGATGAAAAGTGCAGCATAGGGAGTTTAGTCAATAATATTATGTAGTGACAGATGGTGATTATACTTCTCACGATGAGCGCTGAGTAATGTATAGAATGTCTAATCGATCTGTTGTATCCTGAAACTAA